ATATGCAAATGCAACTCACGCTGGAACGCACCAGGCGAGCCGGTGCGATTGTGCGTTTTTGCACAGTTTCTTGCGGATTTTTAGTGCTGCGTTAGTACGATTTGTGCTCGCGTTGGCTTTATTGAGTATCTTTTATTTGTTTCATTTCTCCCTTAAACATCAATTATTAGATCACATTAGTAGATCAAATGCGCATTATCTGCATTACTGGTCATTGTAAATTCAAATTATTATAAAAATGGCTTCACTTGATGTGATGAGTGCGTCTTTTGGCTTTCTAGTGAGTATTAATGTTCTTCCGCTACGAATCGTGAGAATCCGATCTTGGCTTTGCTTTGCTGCTGTCGTGATAAAGCAGATCTATACTTTAATCATTTTGTGCATCATATCTGGCTCAGGTGGGCTCATGAAAACTAGTCAAAGAAATGTATGTGCCGCAACTTATGTTGAAATTGATTACAACCAGGTCAAGGGTTATATTTTCATTGGTATGGGCACATTTACATTCCAAATTTTCAGCCCAAATTCTTCCACCGTTTCCTTAAAACGGGGATTTGCTGCTTCAGTAATGTTGTGATTAGAATCACTCAGTATTAGTTTCCGTCCCTCTTCCGCAGAACATCTCTCTAGAAACGATCGAATGGTGCCGATTGTTACTCCGGGACTTGCGTATGCTCCTGCAATGAACACATCACGTAGTTTTAAAACAGTTGCATCTACCCAGTCCTCATTTTCTCCAATTTTTATGGAGGCTGGGTCACGGACATCACTCAGCAGTTGCTGCGATACCAAGAAGCTTGCTCCGCAGTCTCTTCTCGCCGATCCCGTGCAGTCAACACGTGCAACCGTCTTATAACCGCTGATGCTGATTTCATCTATAGGCATTGCCCAAGTCTCTCCGAGGGGTACGGCGTCGCTTACTGTGTAGACGACCTCGTTCTCTATCTGGCCGCGGTGCTTTGCAAAAATCTGTATATTGCGATATACAATCTGGACAACGGAGCGTTCTGTTCGGAAAAATTTGAAATGGGCTGAAGTAAGCAGAGCTCCTGTCGCTTCAGTTCAACTTGCAATGGATCATTTGGATGCGGTTGGCGAGGCGTGGTGAATGTGCCAATTATGTACAGTCCGAAAAGTGACGTAACTCTGGAGGGCGCTACGTACAGCAAAGCCCGAGTTCTTAGTTTAGATTAATTTAAAAAAAAAAAAAAGAAATCAGCTGCGCGCAAGAGGTTTATGAGCTTAATGCATACACGCAGT